TATATATATATATATATATATATATATATATATATATATATATATATATATATATATATATATATATATATATTAACATTAATTGTAATACAATAGAATCAATATGATAATGAAAGAAAGCAATTAAAAGCTGAATCGATCAATTAAATACCTAAATAAAAAACAAGTTCACAGTATAGAGGCAATCAAAACTATGGATGAATAACAGGAGATTTTCTAAAATGTTTTAATCTATACGGATCGCTCTGTTCAGATCGAAACAACTAATAATGTTCCTTTATATATACGTATATTCAAGAGATAGTGCAAGATGCACAGTGTAAAATAACTAACCAGTTTTTGGTAGTCAATAAAATTATTTGCGTTATATATACGCACAATCTTATTCTACATTTACTGTTTCTTTCAATTGCATATTTCCAAAACTAACCCACATACAGAATGCAGGGATAAAAAATTTCGACAAGCATCAAGAGAAAGGCAATGCACAAGCAAGACTCCAACCTGAGCAAGTTCGTAGTAACCAGCTGAGCAGGCGAGAGAGAGCAAACTCTCTCCCTCCTCCGTAGTCTCGTGAACACTGCGTCCTTCCGTTAATAACTTCCTGACAGTACCAACGTCTCCGTCTGTGCAAGCCTCTACTAGAGAGCGTTTTTCGTTTTGTGTGCGTGGATTATCGCTGCGCATTCGAGTTAATGCAGCTGCTGCTTCATCTAATGCACAAGAAACACTTGATGTTAAGCGACGGAGCACTTCGTGGTCAGCCAAGTGCTTTCCATCGCCTGACGACGACAACTTGCCAATACCAGCTGCTTCCAGTAAGGCTTCTAACCGTGCCTGTGTTTCAGGGTCCACGGATCTCTCTGGATCTTCCGGAGGCAATAAAAACTTGGACGATTCTAAATGATGACCTTCGTCTAATTCAACCTGATCAATTGCAAAACACTCCACCTGTAAGTCACAAAACGATACTTTTCTTAATAATTGGAGTCAATATGAAAGCTATTTGAATAAACAAGGAATAGAATGCGATCAGAAAGATATTGTATGCTTATAATTAAGAGTGAACATATTACAAACAGTAAAATGGAATATTTCACATGTTTTGTCGATAAACTCTTTCAAGTTGTTTCGATTAAAACAATCTATTTTTATACTTAGGCACACAGCTATTTAGCGTTTTTAATTTAAGCAAGATATTCCATTGACAAAATAGCTGACAATACTAACGACATGAGATCCAATCATGTTCCAATTATGTTCGTGCATATATAAAATATGCATGAACGTTATAACAATTAACCACTAAATTGCTGAGTCATTAGAATTCCAACATTTTTATGCAACAAACAGAAGAAGTCTTAAGATATTGTAAAGAAGACTGTTTTAACGAAAATTCGACAGGAAAGCATTTTTAATAAATTGAGGTTACTCTGTACGATATAATGTCGTGAAAATATGAGGAGACAGTAGCGATCGAAATATTATACCACGGCTTTGAAGATATTACGCATACATCGCAATAGGAACAAAGAATGAACGTCAAGGAACTTATTATATGATACGTGATTCGAAGTATGTAGGAATAAAAGAGTCGTAGTACAGGTTCAACTTGCGAGTATAAATCTATATAAGTAATTTCTAAGAGTTAGGTATAAATTTCATCTAATCTAAATCACCGTACGTACATCTCGCGTAGAGGTCATATCCCCTCGCGCAACGAATGGAAACCGATGAGACATAAAAGCAAATCAGAAGAGAGGTGAAAGTATCCTATCTTCTTTAAACGACTAAAACCGCTTGCCAGTTACTACAGAACAGAGACATAAGAACAATGTGCAGCCATTCCAAGAAGGACGAAACTGACACTTCCTTGCTACACTCTGCGTGTCTTCGTACGCGTTTCGTTTGTTTTTCCAATCCCAAGTAAAAAGGAAACGGTCGCGTACCCTTTGTTCACGTAAACACTGATCAATTAATATAATTGTTCACACTAAAAAAAGAAATCGTGAAGAAAAGCTACGATTCTGTATAACCGCTGCTGGTAGAATATAGCATAATATGGTGGCTCTGCTCTCCACAATTTCCACGCCACGAACACGAGCGACACAGGAGAGTCGAGCAACCGGTAGAGGCAGTGGCAAGGATGAAACTGAAACACAGCTCCTTGACAGTACTACGGAAAGAACTAGTTGTTAGGATGAAGATAGAAATACACCTATCAACGACTAAGGAAGGTAAGTAAAGGCGACCGAGCAGACAAGCAGGCTCATGAACTCGCACGAATACGCGAGAAACGCAGCCGAGAACTCCGCTGGGTGGCGCACAACGTAGTGCAAACGGACGTAAAATACTTGTGCGCGCACGCGCGTGTTCGCACACTCTCACACATGTACACGCGCGGGGCATGTAAATAAAATAGAGGCACTACTAGATAAACGCACTCGCAAGGATGTACTTACATACGCACATCACCAAATTCACGTCGCATACGAATACACGAGTTACCAACGCATGGAATCGTGTAACACGCATACGCACGCAAAACATGCATACATACCCGTACGTATATGCATGCATGTGACGAAAGCACGGGAGCTCGCACGCGCGCGCACTTGTCTATAAGTGCAATAATTGCCCACTTCTATAAACATATACATACGTATCTACAGGCGCACACGTGCGTGCGCACGCGCTTGGTTATGCAGTGCAGCTAACCAGAGTTCTTTACCCAACGGTTATACATATGTACGTACGTGTTCAATCACAGGGCATGCAAAGCTATGATACACGAAAAAAAAAAAAACACTATACATATGTGCACATGTATAATAGATATATGTCGCCGTTTCGGTTTCGTGTATCATTAATTTCAATACAGAATCTTGGTTTAGGGTCCGAATGGAGTGGCACGAACACATCGCCAAATTTTAGTCAAAATTCAAGTACACGTAAAAGCGAAAGTCGGTAGAAAACAAACATTTATATGTGTAAAGTATACAGCATGTATCCGTAGGAGCAGGGCATTATTCTTTGTAACTGTATCGTGTATACGCAGGCTACTATGACGCTTACAATTACCTATTAACGCATATATTCCTCTTATATAACATGCGTAAATCCCTTTCTGACTTTTTATTCTTAACTAAGGCGTCCGACTACAATTTGTCTCGAGAAAAACCGCGAGTAGCTGTTTTATGGTTATGTCACTAATTTCGTACGATCGTTGTCACAAATTTGAACATTGTGCTCAGCGTGGACATAATCTTTCCGTTTCGTATAGCCAGTTCGTCGATTTCTCTGCCAATAAATGATTTATTTACCAAAATGTATGATTCTACGTATATTACAGCACGCAACGATATGACATAATTTCCTACCTACGTTAACCATGCGTTATGCATCACGGTCGTTTTTGCATTATTCTCGATTAACAAATAATAANAAATAAAATAGAGGCACTACTAGATAAACGCACTCGCAAGGATGTACTTACATACGCACATCACCAAATTCACGTCGCATACGAATACACGAGTTACCAACGCATGGAATCGTGTAACACGCATACGCACGCAAAACATGCATACATACCCGTACGTATATGCATGCATGTGACGAAAGCACGGGAGCTCGCACGCGCGCGCACTTGTCTATAAGTGCAATAATTGCCCACTTCTATAAACATATACATACGTATCTACAGGCGCACACGTGCGTGCGCACGCGCTTGGTTATGCAGTGCAGCTAACCAGAGTTCTTTACCCAACGGTTATACATATGTACGTACGTGTTCAATCACAGGGCATGCAAAGCTATGATACACGAAAAAAAAAAAAACACTATACATATGTGCACATGTATAATAGATATATGTCGCCGTTTCGGTTTCGTGTATCATTAATTTCAATACAGAATCTTGGTTTAGGGTCCGAATGGAGTGGCACGAACACATCGCCAAATTTTAGTCAAAATTCAAGTACACGTAAAAGCGAAAGTCGGTAGAAAACAAACATTTATATGTGTAAAGTATACAGCATGTATCCGTAGGAGCAGGGCATTATTCTTTGTAACTGTATCGTGTATACGCAGGCTACTATGACGCTTACAATTACCTATTAACGCATATATTCCTCTTATATAACATGCGTAAATCCCTTTCTGACTTTTTATTCTTAACTAAGGCGTCCGACTACAATTTGTCTCGAGAAAAACCGCGAGTAGCTGTTTTATGGTTATGTCACTAATTTCGTACGATCGTTGTCACAAATTTGAACATTGTGCTCAGCGTGGACATAATCTTTCCGTTTCGTATAGCCAGTTCGTCGATTTCTCTGCCAATAAATGATTTATTTACCAAAATGTATGATTCTACGTATATTACAGCACGCAACGATATGACATAATTTCCTACCTACGTTAACCATGCGTTATGCATCACGGTCGTTTTTGCATTATTCTCGATTAACAAATAATAATAATAATAATGATAATAATAATAATAATAATAATAATAATAATAATAGTTTCATAAAACTGAAAATCAGGATGAATCAAAGTGAAAAAAAATTAGGTAATCGTGTAAAATAATGTGACAACTATGTGTGTTCGTGCAGATTCTACCAACTGAGTTTTTCGTGACGTAGCGACAAGGAGAAGATTGAGAAGAAATAAGAAAATATCGAAGAAAAGATCAACATTGAGTGGAGTAAGTTTCATCGAAAGCTGGTGCGAATGTACCCCGCCATCTATAAGTCTACACATATACAGACAAGCACAGCTTCCACGTACACGCATATACACGCGCGCGCGCGCGCGCACACACACGACACACGCGCGCCCACACAAGCGGAAAGAGAGGGAAGGGTGGGAGTGAACGTCTTACACACAGAAAGTAAGAAAGAGTAAGTAGAGAATACAAGCGTGCGTATGAGAAAGAAGAAGAAGAAGAACGGAACGAACGAATGGAATAGCAGGGCAAACTGCGGAGGGGAGGCGGTGGTGACTGGACGAGACGAACGACAGAAGACAGAAGCGACCAACGAATTTGTAGGTGTGCGTGTGCGTGTGCGTGTATGGTGCGTACATGCGTACGTTCAACCTCTCGTCGCAGCAATATTTTATCCACGACGTGGCATGCTTTTTTGACTTGGTTTACCTCTGAAACACTGTCCTCCTCGCTCTCTGACGAGTCTGCCATAAAGGGTGGCTGCAACTCGGAGAAGGTCTCGGTCTCTGACTTCGTAGGGCTGGAGTTCGAAGACTGGGGAGTCGACGACGTCTTTCCAATGTCGTGGTGAACGCTTGCTGATTTTTCGTGCTTCTGACTATCCGAGGTCGTTCCTTGTGCTACATTCTGCATCTTTACCTTCCAGATTAATCATATGATACTAAGGTATCGTCTCCGTGTCGCAAAACACACACAGAACACTTGCTTTTCAATAATAATCTCGAGCACGATCGCCGTCATTCACGTAAGCTAACACCCGCCATTTCTACTATGGCCGACTCCGAGACTCCCAGATGCCTCTTCGACCATCTATATCATTCCATACGATTCGGCGAGCCATCTTTCGTTTCTTGCGGCGGGAAATTTCAAACTACTAACATTTCACGATACGTCGTAGATCATGGATTTCGGTCTCTCTTAGGTCGTATATTTTTTCGAATCTTTTAAATATTTCTCTATTACTATTACGTTTAGCAGTATCCTTATTTGTCCTCACCAAATGAATACTCGCGTTGTTGTAGGTTCCGATAAAATAGAAATTTACACGCGGATGGACGAATATAGGTTGAAACAAAGTTCATTTAGAGGCAATGTTACGTTTATTTGCATTTGATTCTAATTTACAATATCAAACATATTTAGCTACTCTTCGAAGGGTGTAAATTTATGTATTATACGCAGTTTATTTAATTGTTAGATAATTTTTTTTATTTTATTACCAGATAATTGCATAAAAACACCAACAAGTTTGCGTTTTCATAAAAATGATTCGATATCGATCTCTAGTACAGAGCAAGGCATATTTAAGTCAAACTTCGTGATTACGTCCGGATGTAGAACGCCCATCCTCCCGATTACTTTCCCATAGGATAAAATTTCTGCACACCGATCAGGAAAATATGTAGCATCTGAAAAAGAAAAATCTATTGAAGATAGTACAAATGCTGAAAAGGTTGTCGCATTCTTGTTAGATAGCTTACCGTCGACTGTACGAAGACGGTATCCGTGGTCGTTTTCATTAACGATCCGTGGAATTTCCAATACTTGGAATATCCTATCCAGTAAACCATGAATTATCTCAAAACCATCCGACTTGTTGTAATAAACAGCGCATAATCGTCGATTATTGCGTGCACCTACTTCCGCCTTATCATCTTTCAATACAACATCGGAGATTTCAAATAATTTTTGAGGAAGGGGCATCTTCTTATTTGCAGCTAGCGTTTTCAATAATCCTGGTAGTAAAGTTGTACGTGCCACCTTTAACATTGTCTATGTTGTAGTAGTGTTTACTGTAAAATGCCAGACAGAATTTATCAAGGATGAGATCAACGTACTTGAAATTCTAATGTCTTCGGATTCGATATGTGTACCGCAGGAATATTTTCCAATTGATGACCCAACTTATCGGATATATCCTCACGGGAACACTACGGCAAGGAAATAATTGAATGTCATCAAAAATTAACAGGATCGATATTACTGTTCACATTTTAGCAAATATGTTTCGTACCGTACCAACGAGAAGGTTAATGTTTCCGTGAATCCGGTGCAAGCCAGTTCTATGCGCAATTGATCGGACAATTTGTTAAGCGGAAACTAAATTTCAATCGGAAACACAAATTATAAAGCTTTAATTTTCTTTGCCTTTGATAAACGGGTCAATTGTGATAGTATTCATCCAAACCTCTTCGGCAACCGTTGAGAAACATGGTATAGTTTTTTGAATATTATTGTATCCGTACGCTATAGCGATATCCTCGTAAATGTCACATGCATGCATCACATCGTGCCTTGTGGGTGGCACTTCTACAAGTAACTTTTTATTGTTTACAGCTGAGCTTTTCAATGACATTTTTGAAAGCAGATTGGCCACTTCCTCCACAGTTCGTTTCACACCGATATAATTGATTGCTGTTTCGCAATCGATCTCCTGGGTTCGATATTTTAAATCAGGATAACGAAAGACCTTGTTATTAGGATATATAATTTCTACCGCTTCAACCGTGTATTTCATCTTGGAGTATTGGCTGAAGGCACAAACTATAGTATCTAATACTATTTTCGCCTACAAATGCATGCAAAAAGAACATTCGTCTATTAATTTTTGCGTCCAAATATAGTTTTTTCACAAGATTGAGTATTTTAAAACGCAATTACTTTTTCAAAACTGTACCAAGTAACTTGAATTTAGCGGGACTATGGATAACGGGACTAGTGTACTAGACGATAATCAAAATGCTTTTTCTTTTTTTTTAATTTTGCTATTACTCGGAATGACAACGAAATAAAAAACTCTCGTTTTTAACTGTCTTATCTGAGCCTATAGCGTGTTGAAAATGTTATCGAAAATTTTTTAATTAAAAAAACGAGAGTTTTTAAGTCATTTTTGTGTCATCCTAATAGCAAAATTAAAAAAAAGAAAAAAAACGCATTTTAGTCATTGTCTAATAGTCTAGACTAGTCCTACTGTCGTCTAAAAAAAAATTCAAGTCACTTGGTCCATTTTTAAAGAAGTTATTGCGTTTTAAAAAGTATAAGCTCAATTTTGTAACTGTATATTGCACGTTGGAGGAACATTATTTCTAGGTTTACCTTTGTAAGGTCTGTTGCTGTACATTCTATCAGAACGTTTCTAGTGTCGAGCGTGATTTTTGAATGATTTCCATTAATGATGGGGGGAAGAGATAATACGGTCCCATTGTTATCTTGCACTACAGGAAAAACTGGACTGTCTTTTATAATGTGTAAATATTGTTTTAACTTCGTATGATTCTAAAAGAAAAAGTACTTTTATTAACTGCCTCCTTTAATTTCTAAGCAAAATAAAATAACATGTACATTCAAGTTTTAGCTTAGATCTTGTATACTTACAGCATACAAATTCATTATTTCTTCCCCCGTATATTTTTTATCTTGATTAAGCGGTATAAAATATATATTTGTCGGTGGCTTGGCATCGTAAAAAAATGGACCTCTAACAGTGTCTAAGTCGTGAGTACCAATCGATACCAAAGTACGGTTTCTTCCTATATTTTGGTGCAACTTATCTTGAAGATCGATAAAACTATTGTAAGAATCTTTTGTAAATTTAACATCGTGTAAAATAGCTGCGACTATATGTTCTCTGATTTTTAGACACTAAAATATAAAATGGTAGAAATGGTTCTGTTACGGTTACATGTCCTGTTAATAAATTAAAGAGATTCGTTTGAAAATCATTCCATATACCTCGCTTGTCATGAATATTCTGTGGGTGTCGCTGTTTGAAAATATAGCCGTGTACCGTGGTATATCGACCCTACATGGAAACATTGAAAGACATAATTCTTAACCTATTCACAAAAATAACATTACATAAACTAATACGACAATAATTTGATTTTCTTTAAATACTTGAACCTGTTAAATATAGCTCGAACAACATGTTATAACATATACCTTATGTGACTTTTTATAAAAGCATATAGAGATGAAAATAACGCTTACTTGTTTAGAAATATCAACAAGCCAAGAGTCAAACCTTCCAAACATAATAAATCGTATCTATTTGCCGGTATATCAATTTTATATATAACTTCCTCCGATGCTTCTGTAGTTGCATCTATACCTCTTTCTTTCATTATTATTTGTTTTTCTGTCGTCTTAAAGTAAATTAAGGTTACTCGTACATACATTACAATCTAATTAATTACAAATATTGTCAAAATTAAGATATACATACCACTTCGTCCAATTCTAGACCAAATTTGAAGCACAAATCTTGAAACTCGTCATCGGCTAAAACAATATTACTAAATGAATCAAAAAATATTACTTTAGTTTAAATTAAATAGATGAACATAGACAGCAAAATTGGTAGCAAAATTGGTAGCAAAATTGGTAGCAAAATTAGAATAAAATGGAGTATTATATTATTATGGAGAAATATATTATTATACTCACTATACACGCTGCCAAGTGTCTTAAATAGTAAGTCACGTTTGACATTAATCGTCGGCATGTTTTTATATTACACACGGTACTTCTTGAAATAGTACAATATATTTAATTCATACGAACTGTTTGCTTCTTGAACAACTATATTCAGGATTTCCCAAAGTAGCACTTCGGGTGACGATTAATTCAGAAAAATTTACCGGTGGTCGATGCAAGCCGAGGTTAGGATCGTAATTGCTGTAACATTGTACATCGACAAATGAATACAGGTTGATTATATGTATCGCTCGATAAACGTATATCGCGTTGGTGATTAATCCCTTAAAGTCTAGACTCTAGACTATTCTATACCTCAAGAGAATCATTCATAAAAACGAGAACTCTCGCTTATACAGCAATAGCAAGATCAAGATTCAGTGCCACATATCGTAAAGCAGTAAAGTAACTTACAATACAATTATACAATGCGTATGGCACAACGGCATGATATAATGCCGTACTTACTATTGCATATTTACATGCTACGCCATACATGTATATACATATGTATGTAATATGGACAAGATGAACAAGATGTATAAGCGTATTAGTATGATTGGATAGGTCTACAATTCCGAAAGAACGACGCACCAATGTTCCAAACGTGTTAAACTGTTTTAATATTCGACATTAATGAATATGCGTTCGCACAAGCTGCTCGTAATTTTGCGTGGACGAATGCACCCCTAAAATTTTTGATGTTTGGTGCCATCATGAACCTAAAGGACGAAGCCATACGTCATTCATCGTCAGCCATATTGCTAGTGATTGGTAGGAAAAATAAGTAGTGCACTCTACAGGTGAGTTTAGTTATCACATACGCGATCTAAGGTAATGCCTATATGGTGATGCGAATGTTTGTAGATCGCCGTAGATGCTACGCCACTTCTGTGCTTGGCGCATCGACGTTCATAATCGGCACGCGCAAAACTAGCTTTCCGCGCGTGACTCATACCTTACCCCTCAGTCGTGTAAACGTGTGTATGTAATATACTTTAGACTCCATCCTTTGACTTGGCAAAATTAAAGCGTAGACAACTACGCGAAGGAAACGGAATTGTTCAGGAGAATCTACTGTGTCCAAACCGTATGCAAAAAAACAAATGATAATATTGCGAAATGTAATTAATTGCACTTTGAAGTTTGGTTAACTATTACGTTAACTAAGTGTATGTTTCGTTGTCCTTTTTTATTTCCTCATTTTATCATAATTGATGTTTGTAAGCAACGCGATGCATTCTACATACGTGCGTGACACGTCTGTTGGCGAAGAAATAAAGCTCCGTTCGATGTCCGTGCAGCGCTAATTGTTGTAGTGATAAAATTCTCAAACTGTTAGCCAAAATCGATTGTCGATAATTTAGCTAACAGTTTGAACGTTTTGCCGCTGCACTTTACGTTGTTATACAAAGTTTCACGTCGTTGATTTCAGTTGTCTTACTTTGCTTTACGTTGTTTTAAATTGTTTTTATCGCGCCCCCCACCTTGGCCTACTATGGTGAGGCACTACTGTATAAGAGCGGACCAATCACCATATGGAATGCTATTACTCTTAGAAGTCCTATCCTATTCCTCATCTTTGATAGTGACAAAACGCTCAAGCTGTTAGTCGAAAATTCGTACTTGTCGATTGAATAGAAAACTAATATACACAGAAAACTGTATTATCTAAATCATTACAGGTATATGGCAGACGCGCGCGTAGGTAAGTAATGTTTTCTATTTTATCGACAATTTTTAAATATCGATTAAGAGAGAGTGTATGAATTCAATTATTATTATTATTACCTACCAACAAGTAAAATCAATTTATAATAAATCATCGTAGAGCGAACGCGTATATATGAAACGGGAATAATTTATTATGATATGAAAATATTTTCATATAAAAATATATCAAATACCTAATTAAATTACACAATCGATTAGTTTATCTATTCTATACCCACAGAGGAATTTTATGATAGCGCCATCCGATGCTGACTCGTTCTTTCTCTGCCGATAAGTGTCTGCTAATAATTTGAGCGTTTGAAACTACATGAAACGGCGTTAAATTGCTATATAAATGTCGATACCGAGTCTGACTCGTGATAATAGTGGAAGGAGTTAATGAGCAAATGATTCTTGCCGCTATTCTCACACTGCGGCTTATGGTCAGAGCGGCACAAATCACCTGCGTCCATACTTGCAATTATTCTAATAATTAAAATGAATGATTAAAAGACAATAATACACTAATCATAGATGATAAAATATAGATAATACATTGTAAGATTGCAGAAAAATTCTTCCTGCGTCATAACTTGACGGAAACTCATAGTGAATCACATGGAAAATCCACATTTTTTGAAAATATTAAATTCATCAGAATTTTACTAACATTCTGTATTTTACACAAACAGCATCATTTGCCTCCGGTACGTTTTCCCGTACCTTTTGCATGTACATTAATTACTTCTGTGTATAAAGTGCATATTATTATTATTATTATTATTATTATTATTATTATTATTATTATTATTATTATTATTATTATTATTATTATTATTATTATTATATTCCAAGATACAGTCGTAGGACATGTCCACCGTATCGATCCTTTAATTGTTCCTCGGCCCGCGATATTCCGCGGACTTATTCAATTAAAACGTATCCTTCCACATTTTGTTGGTCCCCGTTGAAAGCGTTTCATTCGCAGTTGTTCTGCCGGCGCCATTCGTTATTCGCGTCCGACTCGATCTCTCTCCTCTAACTTTGCTTTTAAGCGACTGCTTGTTCATTTATAATCCTGCATTGCTCTTGACTCGGCACAAAGAAAAGGGCATTCGAAGTTTTCACTGCTAAGCGAGCAACTTTCACCCTCTCGCAGTTCAAGGAGCTACCCTCGGTCGCGTACCATCGCCGTTCCGACTTCCTCGGACTTGTGATTCAAGCTGGCGCTGTTGTTTCACTGATTTTTATTTTCCATTCTTTTCACCGAAAGTAATTACGATTCGGAAATTGCCCGTAGACGTAATGGATCGGCGTTTCAGTTGAAAATAATTATACTCGGCGTACAAACGACGACGAAACGATCTTCTTTGAACCGTCGAAACGACTCCGTAGTACTAACATAGAAAAAGACCAGGTAACTCTCGTTATCTGCTCAGAGGATATGTATTGAGAGAACACTGAGAGAATACTGAGAGAAAGTTGCCAGACGTAACGGTTGAACACAAATTCGATTTTAAAGTCCTCAAGAATGTTGGACCGTTTTAATTGGCCTGTAAAAATGTTCACGGTTGAGAGCAGAGGAATATCGGACACCGGATTCACTGTTTCCTCGGGTTACAACGCGACCGCGGGCGTAAATTATCGATTGAAAATTTGATACGGTCGTCCGGTATGCGATAATCGAACGTGTGTCAGCCAATGTGCGATTCCTCTTCAAAGACAACGGGGGGAAGGGGGTACATACTTCTGAAGCATATAAATGTGTGGATCCCGATGCGTACGTTCGTCTTTCGACAGTGATCTTGTCATTCAATTGCGCGCCGAGATTTTGTTTGCCATGGATCGATACCTGTGCTTCGTGCTGATGATCGTCGCTTTTCCATTCGCCATGTAACAATATTTTTCCTACAATATTTTATCGCTATTGTGCCGCCTACGTCTGTGACATTATCCGTATATCTTTGGTGATCCTTTCTTTGACTTGAACTTTGCTTCTTCTGCTCATTCTTTGTCGCGATTATCGCAAATTTCATACGACAAAGACATGTCCGTTTGAAAATTAGGTCCAGTCACCCTACAACTCGATTGAATTTATTATGTCAATCTCGATATGATATTAATTGAGAGAGAGAGAGAGAGAGAGAGAGAGAGAGAGAGAGAACAGTTCGTTTAACAGTTTCATTAATTGTGCCAGGCCACAGTCGACCGAGAGGGGACCGTGCAAGTGTGGTGTGTTTCCGGTGGGGACGTCAAAGTCGATCATCGAACGGTCGTTTCAGCTGAACGTCACGTGTGACAATGAGGGACTGGAGCAATGTGTTGCGTTATGCGTTGCTCTGGTAAGTAAATAGTTGGCGTTAATGTATCGGGGGAATAATTGAACCAGAGCAAATGGAAATTCTGCTTAGGCGAAGACTGCGCAAGACAGGATGCCACAAATGATTTGCGAGGCGATAGAGGAACACGTGGAAAATCTGCAGGTGTGTCCGTTGATCCTTTTTTTCGATCGTAAGATTCGATACGTCATTGTAAAGTAAATTGTTCATTTATTTATTTGACACTGAACCTACCGCGCTGGTTAAAATCGCCTCGAGGTTCGGTTTTTATAGTTGCCCCGATTGTCGACAACTGTAAAATCGAACCTCGAGGATCGAATAATCGTATCTCCTCATCCCAATATTGTTCAAAAAATGGATATTGTCCACGAAAAAGTTTACAAGTTGAAGGCAATTGGGAAGAATTGATTATACATCGGCCAGTTTCGGGACTCGGTAGGTTTAGCGTTAAACGATGATATATTAAAAATGATGATAAACGCGAATAAAAAACCGGAACGATAACGTAATCCGATCGCATTGTTTTTAGGTTGCAGTGTTCGCTGAGACTTGCGACAGTCTCTCCTGGACGTTCACCGGTCTAAAAAGCGAAGAACCATTCCTCTGCTGTCATGATAGAAAATCGATTTCTTGTTAGAACAAGATCCGATGATCGCAGTCGATTAAACGCATCGATCCTTCGTTAGGCTGTTGAAGAAATTTCAAGTGAAAAGTTGCGTTGTTTTATCGTATAGTCTGTGTGTGTTTTAACGTTTTTTAACGCGCGGATGTCTGTATCGACGACAAGATCCACCAACTGTTTATCAGTTTGTCGGTAATCGATGAATTTGTATCGTAGCCGGCCCTTATCGCGTACGATTGACATAAATAAGGATCGATTGTGGTTCGGTAGAAACGGATTGTTACGGAATCCGCGTTAACGGTATCGGCGAGCGAAGTTAATTATTGGTAGTTGCGGCAAGCCTCGTGTTTTTTTAATCGACAAACGAAGAATCGACGATGAGAGATCGTGTAACTTGAATAAATTGAGACAATGGATTCTGTTGTTGAATATTTCTGATCGAGACTATGTCGATATTGGGCTATGAATATCGATGAAAAATTAAAATGTTTAGAGTCGATCGTAAGAAATGGAAGAACATAATTTGTCCTACGGTAGATTTGTTATGTCGATTACAACGTTTATTAACCGACCCCTTTTGTTTGCTGTAACGCATGAAATTCGCAGTCTAATTGTCGCTGTTTTTCGTTAATAACTCGTAAACGAAGCCGCGGATCGTATTTTCGCTAAGGACAAAGTTACTTCGAATCACCTTGGGAATCTCGCTTGTACTATAATTTTGGGACACCCTGTATCGTGTTTTTGCAGTTACGTTTATATTTCGAAAATTGCATTTTGCCCAATATTTTAGGAAAAGATATCGCTGCGCGTCATCCGTCTCGAAGCCCAAATCTGATGGGACCTCGAGTGTCAAAGCTCTCTCGCTGCCGGAATGTATCCTGCTTAAAAGCATTAAACGGCGGCGTGTCGATTCTTGAACGGCGTCGCGGGTCGCCGAGGATATACACCGGAATACAAAGTGCGGCTGCTCACCCCGGCCCCCCTCGGATATCTTCCATTTCGTCGATGGTGTTCCAAGAGGTTCGTCGCAGAGAAGCCGCGCGCCATTCAATGGCAGGGTTTGTTATCGCGCCGACGACTTCGCGACGATGAATCCCGCGCCGCATCCCGCATCCCGCCTCCCGCCTCCCGCCTCCCGCTAGCCCATCAGGCTATTGTGTTCAGCGCTGTCTTCTGCTTTTTTTCAACGCGCTTTAATGACTTCGTCGTTTTCGCGAGAAGTTCGTCATCCTCTACCAGAAACCCACTCGCGGCCACGGCTCCACGCGAATCCGCGCTGTTCGTTTCCTTGCGAAAATTCGTCGGATAGATCTTGCTTCTCCCGACCGGGCAAACTGTTCTCTAAATTCCAAGCAGCGTTCATTCGCGGTTTTTCGGAGAGTAATCTGTAACATCGAGATTCGGACCGTTTTTTCTAGACGTTTTATACATTTTTGCAGCAAACCATTCTTTCACGATGTAGTCAAATTTTCTCATTCGATTAATCGTGGTTATTTGGGTGGTTACACAGTGTGTCCAGTAGAAGGAATAAAACGACAACAGAAAGTTAATTCGATAGATTCTGTGACACTTGGTTTGTCCATTTCACAAGTCCTTCTAATTCTGCCAGCTTTAATATCATCGTTGGACCGCGCGGATCTTCGTGCAAAATAAAAATTGTCTCGGTCGATTGTAGATAACATAAGAGTTAGGTGAAAACGTCCTTCCCCATTTAATAGTCATAATAAGTTTCAACAAAATGTTAACCGTTCCATTAAAAAAAAAATTGAAGGTGACCTTCGTATCTTGATAAAAAAAGCAAAATAGCATAAAACTGATTAAAATACTATCGTATACGTCCCCCTGGAAGAGCCATGTAACTTCTATATGAAACATTTTTTCATACAACAAATATTTGACGAGTTCTTCGAGGTATTCGCGTTACGAGGCTCGCACTTTGTACAGTTGACGATTGTCAACAACTATAAAAACGAGTCGTAAGGCTCGAATAATCGTATCTCTTCTTTCCAAATTGTCCATTTTTCTACACAATCTGTGCGTCGATTCGTATTCGATCGGAATTTTGCACCGGACCTGTTCATTTTTCTCATAAACGTATAAAATCTGCCAGCTCTATAATCGTCGTAATTAGTGTAGATTCTTTGGTAGAGCAAACATTCGCGTCCCTTTTAAGTGACAATTCGATCTGTAATTGTAATATATAATAATATTTTTCAGCGACGCGTTAATTATTATAGGCTATCTTTCTCGACTTCTGTCGAATTACTCGACGCGTTAACGTAGATTTCGTTCTCCGGGGGCTTGATCCGAATTGTTTCGCTAAGGAAGGAAAGAATTGCGTCGCTTTCGAAATGGTTGATTCGAAACGGACTTTATTGGAGCAATGCGTCGCGCAGTGCCGAGTCTCGAGGGTGTAACACCCGGCCAATCCTCGACGGCTGAGCAACGTTTACGTAAATAACTCTCTACACCGATCGGATAATCAATGAGCTGGGATTACGATGCCCATACATCGTTGGTTCGTTAGCCGGGGGATATTAGGTTCTGGAGGTTGTGGAATTATAGAGGCTCCCCCGAGCAATCGTTAACCGGTTATTAACGTAAAGTCGATCGTTAGGACAAATACGGATCGATCAGCCTGGAAAGTTGTCCAACATTTTTCCTGCTGAAAACCCTGGGCCCCGTTCATCGCAATCAGCGTTGTCGTTCATCGAAACACGTGCTGTTCCGCGTCGTTATATCAACGTGAACATCGATGGCAATAATCTTGACGAATGCTATTGTAAAAGCAACGAGGATCGATTTGTAATTGAAAACGGTGTTGAGGAATAATTCTAGCAGAAATGAAAAAAAAGCTTGCGATATATACAAGCCCTGCGATCGGATTACAGTAGATTCTCCCTAATCGACGCTCGGAAGAGGAGGTACGCGATTAAAGGTCGATGCACATTTACGTGCCAGGCTCGGGTCGTGCTAGCAGCGTGCTCGATCGCGAGTGTTCGCATTAGACGCGCGAGCGAAAAAGTAATTCGAGCCGAGACCGGTGCACGATATTAATACGCGCGTTAGCGTCGCTAATATCCGCCTGGAGTCCGTTTTAGTCGATTCACGACCCGCCGATAAAGATAAATCACCGTTAGCGATATACAGCTACAGTGTGTTTC